TCCCCCCTCTCATGTGCTCTCTGTCTCTCTCATTCTCTCTGTCTCAAATAAATAAATAAAATCTTTAAAAAAAAAAAAAAGTGACCGACTGGTTAAGAAGGTGCCTTGTAGGTAACAGTCCCTGGTCTTTAGAATCACCTCTGGCATCTTTCCCTTCGCTCGTCTTCCGGGGAGCATGGCCTTGCCCGTGCTGAGGGTCAGCGGAGGGAGGGAGAGGAACTGCGTCAGGGAGAATGGTGGGGAGGGAGGGACATGAGAACATTCAGAAACAAAAACGATTGGAAGCCTCTTCGCAGCGTTGTTGGAGTGGGTCTGTGCTCTGCGTTCCTGCTGTTGACATCTGCTACTGGGGTTGTGGTCATTGGGAGGCCTGGCTGGACACCGGTTTTCCTCTGCCCCCCTCAAAGTCATGACAGGGCAGGTGGGGTGGGGGGCAAGGATCCAGCCTTCGTGTTAGGGACCCTGGATTGCTGGGTCTGCCAAGCTTGCAGCCGAGTAGAAAGGTCCTGTTGTGCGTGGCTTGCCTGAGGACCAGGCCAGGGGGCCAGCCCTGCAGAGCTGGCTTCCCTGTAATGCTGAACAGGAGGGGCCGCGACGCCTGACGCAAACCCCAGAGTCGTCCTGTAAATACCTAAATGACCCACTGGAAGAGGTCAAGGCCACTTGTCAGGGGTACCTGTGCTCACTCTTCCTCCTTGTCCTTCATCCTAATTCTGTATCCTGATGTCCTTGTGTTCTAAATGCAAACCCTCAATGGGACATAGGAGGAGACGTTCATAGTCAGAGGGGAGACTATACCATCACCATGAACAGGATGGGGAATGGTGATATTGCTAGTTTTTCCACGTACACCTTTTCCATTCTTGACAAGTAGTTATCATACATCTACCGTATGCCAAGTCCTATGATAAACACTGGAGAGGCAACTCCATGCTATAGATAGATAGATGATCGATAGAAAGAAAGAACATAACACTGTGGCATGCTGAGAGAAAGAACAATCCTCTTTCCCCCCCAAATAAGTCTCAATGGTAATAGGATCCTCCGCATACATTTGCTACTGAAAATTGAAATAGCCCATCCAGAAAATTTTTATTACAATTCCAATTTTTGGGAAAACCAGAAAATCCAGCCTAGGTACCCTGCCCTAATTATGCTCTAGCTGTACCACCCCAATGTTCTCTGTGAATTCTTTCTGCACAAGTTACGTGGCTTCCAATTTTTGATGTTGGGTTTTAGCTTGATGACTTCAGGCTTCTCAAACACGCAGGCAACACTCAAAACCTATTAGTGCTTCCTTAGGTCACATCAAGAAGTGGAAGTCTACTGAGGTCATTCAGATGCAGACTACAGAAGATATCTCTCTATCTATCATTTGTCTATCTCTCTATATATAATTTTGGTTTGTCTTCTTAGTACCCAGTCTCCAGCGTAGGAGTGTCAGTCTGTTCTGAGGTCTTTCGTGATCTACACAAGCAGAGTGTGAGGGTGCTGCTAGCCTAAGGTAGACCAGATGCCTGATGAGGGCACCGGAGGAGAGACTGGGCGACATGCTGTAGGAAATGCTGCCCAGTTCTTAATGCTGCTTTGATGATGAGACTTAGACAAACTGTGTTTGGAAGGTGGTCGTGGTCAGTCATCGGTTACCATTCAGGACTGTCCAGTGCTTCAGCCTTTAGCTGCATTTCTTTCTCAGTGTCCAGAGCCTGTCTCTCCACACGGCAGGCCTTCTGCACTTTTTCCAGAAAGGGAGAGGTTGAGCTTTTTTCTTGATTATTGCTGGGAGCAAGGAGGGGTGAGTTGGGGTAGCTCGCCGATCCTTCTACAGCTGGTTTTCTCTGAGCTCTTTTCCCTGCACCTGCTTTTTGTTCCCACTGTTGGAGTTTAGGAGCTGGAGCGGATTTTGTCATGCTGGGAGGGATGTTTTCAGGCCACACGGAGTGTGCCGGAGAGGTGATTGAGAAGAACGGGCAGAAGCTCAAGCTCTTCTACGGGATGAGCTCCGAAACAGCAATGAAGAAGCATGCAGGAGGGGTTGCTGAATACAGGTAAGTCTCAAACATCAGCTCTATTGACACTAAGGTGCCGTGGGAAGGAGCTAGAAAACATATGCTGCTTCTTTTTAAATAGCCCCAGTTTTTATCCAACTAGCATTTGCTGTGTTTGGGGCCCTCAAAAGGCAGTGCTGAGCAGAAGTGTTCTGGGACGGGACAGAAACGTGATGAGGGGGTATGTGTGAGCAGGTAGGACTCCTGCTTAACCAGACACTCCAGACTTTCCAGGGGGTTAGGCAAGAATATTTTGCCTTGTCCTGATAGCTCTGAGCTAGCTCCGTAACCGCCCATCTGTAGCCTGGAACGAATTCGGGCTGCAAGAATTGAGTTGAAGAATGGGTTTCCCATTGCATATGAAAACAGGTGTGGTGCACACCACCACATGGAGGTTGGGCCTTTCTGGAAGATGCCGTGTTTCCCCTATGGTAGGACTCTCACCTGCCTCCAGGCTCTGACGGTTGACATAGGCAGCATTTTTAGCCATTTAGTTGTGTTACTCACTGCAGAAGAGATGCTTGCTTCTGGGTTTTTTTGTTTTTTTCCCAAAGCCACCATCCCCAAAGATAACCTGGCCTTTTCTGTTTCACTTCATCTTAATTGTCCGCATGTGTGTTTGAAGAACCTTAGGACAGCGCGTATCTACTCCCTGGCCCTGTTCCCTAGAAGCTGCCATTGCTTCTCATCAGCATTAGCCTGATGACAAGTCACACGAAGTGGATAGGACAGAAGGTCTTGCTTCCTCAGAAGGAAGTCCGCTGGGAGGGAGGGATTGCCTTTCTCCGGGAAGCCTCGGGCACTGGGATGGGAGCTCAAGCCCTCCCTGGTGGACACCCTCCATTTCCTACCATTCATCCCACATCCCCTAGCTTATCTCGAGAATCTGGGATGCAGACGTGTTGTATGAGCTTCAAATCCTGCTGGAGGTAAAATCTCAGAACCCCACTGAGATTCATGGGCGCCTGGGCAGGCGGGAGGCATGGGGTACTCCGCCAGAGTTCTGTGCTTCAGTCGGGGGCGGGGACTGGCGGACTGATATTCATTCTCATTCTTCAATCTCACCTCCTTTTCGGGGGGGACCTCAGTAAAGAGGATGCGACAGTGCGGGAAGGCAGGGTGGAAAAGAGGAATAGGAGACTAGGTCTATACCTTCATCCTGGAAAGGAGGACTCTCCTTCCCATGCAGCCTCAGAAGGCTTTTGCTCCCATGTGGTGCCCGATGGAGGAGGTTGCACAGTTTATGAGGGTGGGCAGGGGGAGGATCACTGCCTCGGTGTCACCCTGGACCTCCAGTCCGGAAGCTTCATGCTTTACCAGCAGCCGCTGTCCCTATCCCAGGGCCTTGCCAGGGAAAGGCGAGGGGGCGAGGGAGGCAGACACACACAGGCAGAGACACAGAGAGACAGAGACATAGAGAGACAAAGACACGGAGAGAAAAACAGAGGCAGCCTGCAGGGCTCTACGTTACGCGGAGCCCTCGTGGTTCGGGGACCACTAGATGCTTTGCCTGGAGGACACTCTGCCCTCTAGCTGTTGCATCTGTTCCGGGTTCTAAGGAAACCAGACAGAGGAGGGCAGACCAGCCTCTGCCACACAGGGAAGCTGAGTCCCCGAAAGAAAACTCCTCTCCTGTAATTTCAGCAGGGTTTACACAAAACAGAAAATAGAAGATTCTGGAAGTGGATTCAAATCTTGGACAGGAAGGGCAAGGGCTGAAGGAATTCGAACATCAATCTGGAGGCAGCCTGAGCCCTGCAGGCTGCCTCTGTTTTTCTCTCCGTGTCTCTGTCTCTCTGTGTCTCTGCCTCTCTGTGTGTCTGCCTCCCTCGCCCCCTCGCCTTTCCCTGGCAGTTTGCAGCCCCATCCCCACAGTTTGCTCCCAAGAATCGTCCTCCTTTGACGTTGGTATTTAATTAAGGCAAAGCTATTTCTGCTTTGCTGGGTCCTTCCCAGCCATTAACCATTTATGCCTCACGCTGTCCCTGGGAGACAGATCAAAGTACCTTCGTTTACCAGACGACACGACGTGCGCCTCAGCGATAGATGACTTGCAAAAGGGAACCGTCCCCCGTCAGCAAAGAAGCAACGATGAGCATCCAGATGACTTCCAGCAAGCCCCACGCGGGCCATGGAAATCTCTTTCAGAAGGGAAATGGCAGTTGTTGCGAGCCCAAGTGCAGAGGTGGTGGTCTCGGTCACCGCACGTGGTGACATGAACCGGCTTGGGTGTGGCCCAGCAGGGCGTCGGAGCTCAGTGCTCTGAACCGGCCACGAGGCCAGCCCTGGGTCTCGTCAGCGGTTTAGGGAGGTAGATTTCGTTGCACTTAAGGCCAGTCTTGCCTGTGTGGATTCCAGTGCTCGAGAGTTAATACCATCTTGAAATTCTAGGCAAGGAGTTTCTGATTGAGAGATGCTGTTTTTTTTCTCGTTGAAGAGACCAGCTAAAGAAAGTTCCAGAATTTGGTTAATTGTGAGACTTTCTAGATTGCCTGGGCCTCAGATGAGGGCTAGAGTTTTGCATAGATTGGACATTTCCTTCTTGTAATGCCCCCTCCAAAGGCAAGTCTGGACTGCATATCCGTGCTACCTAGTGGGGCTTGAGTTGTGCATTTTACGGGTCTTCCTTGACTTAAGCCCGGGGCTGCATTCCGATAAACCCATCTTATGGTGAAAATATGATAAATTGAAATGCATTTGAGACACCTAACCCCCTGAACATCCTAGCTCAGCCTGGCCTACCTTAAATGTGCTCAGAACACTTAGGGTAGCCTACCGTGGGGGCAGAATCGCCCAAACAGGGCCTGTTTGATAATAAAGGGTTGAGTGTCTTCTGTAATTTACTGAATATTCTACTGAAAAACAGACTGGTTGTATGGGTGCAGAGTGGTCGTTCCCCTGTCCCAATCCTGGCGCTGATGTCTCTGTAGGCACCGGCGACCCGCATCACCAGTTGGGGATGTTGGCACATTGCTAGCCTGGGAAAGGATCCAAATTCAAAATCCAGAGTATGCTTTCTACTGAGTGCATATCGCTTTCCCACCACGGTGACCTCAAACCATCGTAAGCGGGAGGCTGTCCGTACTGATCCCTTCCTCCTCCTCTCGATCGGCCTCTTTGAGTCAGACACTCGGGGTCTGCTTGGAGAGCTGGTGTTTGGGAGGGCGAAGCCCCGGGCTTCTGGGCTTCTGTTGTCAATCGGGGAGTGAGACAAGAAGAGGCGGTGGCCGGAGTCGTTCAAGAGGTAATCTGCCAGGGCTGGTCTTCCCCTGGGGCATTTGGGACCCTGGGTCAGTCGGATGCTGGTGTCGGGATGAAGCTGGAGGAGAAAGGGGGAGTTGGTTTCTCTTAGAGCCCCGACGTGAGGGGGACACCCCAGAGTGAGGTGTGGGTCCACTTCTTCGAAGGCTGCTGACGAGGAATTTCCTCCTCCCGGTGCCCCAGGCAGCCAGCAGCGAGGCTGTGCACTTCGGGTGGGAGGAATGC